GGGATGCTACTGTACCTTCGCAGGACAGGCCATGGGAGGTGACTCCAGAGAGACTCTCTCGGCACACATTGCAGAAAGTGGGTCGGGCATGGGAGCAGGCGTACCAGTTATGCATCCCTGAGAAATGTTCCACATTAAACTGGGCCACCTAGAAATGAGACGTTAGCACAGATTTGCCAAACAAAAGAACAGAACTAGAGATGCTTCACGTTTGGAATGTATATCACTATGATTAAAATTTCAAATCATAATTTCTTTGCTTTAAATTAAAAAAATCAATATTAGGTTTAAACAAGATGCTGAATGAATCTACACATGTCTTTTTTTAGTAGGGAAGGGCGTTAGTTCTACGGTTAACACTTATTCTCTAAGAACACGAGACGACAGGAGAGATGCTACTGTACCTCGTAAGGTTCTCTGGTCTGTACAGACTTCAGTGAGCTGATCCAATCCTCCATCTCTTTTCTGTTCTCAGCGCACAGCATTAGTCTTCTGAATGGAGTGATTATCTGAAGGGGATAATTCAACCCAATGATCGTTAGTAACCAACAAAGAGATTAGTGCAAAATCTAGTATCTTACAAGGTGATTCCATTTCTAATCCGAGTTCTTATTTCCTCGATGAAGACAGTAAGATTCTCTGTAACATAAATGAATCCAGGTCTCAGTATGACACAATGTGGTGTAGGAAAGAAAAATTCTGAGCAGTCTTTTGTTGTCTTTGATCTCATTGCTATATTTACTCATCAGGCTCTGTAGCCCTTTAGCAAAGGCTGTGAATCCAAATAAGCAAAGTATTCTTATTTCATGGACTATATCTTGAAAATTGACTTTAGGTATAGTTCAAAAGTAATTTATAGTAAGCTTAGAATTAAAACAGTTTTCAAAATGGAAATTGTTTAAAATCCAAAATCAAAAGAATGCAATATTAAATGAGTTCACAATTGGTTTATAATGGTATCAAGGCGATTCTCTTTTAAATAATGTTGGGTTTACAGATCATTTCTGTGGCCTATTTTAATATGATTTATGTGACGGATTCTTCTCCCACTGTGTAGACTCCGCTCTACTACTTTTCAGTGACAGCGGGAAGAAGAATTAGCATACAAGTCCTTTAGCTGACTTTAAGGGAGAAAATAATTGTGACTTTCATTTCTTTTTCATGTCACTAAAGCAGGCAAATTCATTATATCAAGAATCTTAAAGCAAATGCAATAAAAATGTTATGCTATAATAGCACCAAAGTGCTTCGAAGTAAGATTCTGAAATTACTTGAAAGCAGCCCCTATTTCTGTGTGAATACAATATTCTGGTTGTAATCTTGAAGCTGCTAAATCTTAAGTATTTACTGCAAAGAAGGGACCATTTAATTACTTGCAGGAAAAAAGAAAAATGTTACATTCCTTCCTAGAAACTATTCCCAAGAAATACATTATATATATTTATTTATAGAGCAAATAAGAAATTTTCTCAGGTTTATAAGCCGTTTAATCACGTGACAATCTATATATTACAATATAGAGCAGATTTCCGAAGTTACGCAAAAGCATAATTATCTTAAAAAAAAAAAAAAGGGAACACTTCCAAAACGGAGTAAACAAGCGTCAGTCACTATTGCTCATCTTAAAAAATAAGCCCGTTACTCAAAATTATAAAGATCAACCCAGTCGGAGCTACTCACCAGTTACTGCCTCCTCTCATCTGTCATTAGCTTTGGCTACACAATCCTTCCTTAGACCAAGAGGCCTTTAATACACTGGACAGGCACTCGCACTTAAATACAGCTGGCCAGAAGTCACGTGGAAGACAGCATTAACCGTTCAGCACTGGGTATTTGTTAATTGCATATGAAATTGAACAGAACCTCACTTTTGCATTTTCTTGTTTTCCACTACGTTCCTTGGATAAAGCTTATTAGCAATTGGTCACTCCACTTCCTGAATAAATAATTAATGCAAAGAGCAATGCCTCCCTCATTACCTAGGAGCCAAATGGATGCTTTATTGCTTCAAAATGTTTTTCTAGGACGGCTCATCAAATGCAGAAGAGAGGTACCATTAAATCATAATACACTCCTGGCTCCGACAACTGGCACGGCACTCAGATATCTCTGTATGTCAATGGACTGACTGGATAAATCTGATATTTATCTGGATAAATATAACTTGTAGCATTTAATTTTTTTTTTTTGCTATACTATACAATGTTACTCTAAAGATTCCCTCTCTTTCATTATGATCTTAGAGTGAGTGAGACAAGTATTATTCAGATAAATAAACTAGGCTTCTATTTTATTCTTTTTTGTTGAATTTTAAGGAAAGCAGAAAGTCTGATGTTTTCAACTATCTTTAATGCCTTTAAATTCTTTAAAAGCCACCATGAATTCAATAAAAAGAGGGGAAAGAAGGATAGAGACCCAGCTTCTAATTTTCCTTGTAGCTTTTGAACTACATCAATGCCTAAATTCTAAAGGGTTTTGGCAATATAAATCATGCATGTACCTCATACGCTGATGAAGTAAAATTTTTACATTTGCAATGTCCCCTTTGTAATAAAAATTTGTTTTAAAATGGACAATAAGCAAATCATAATACATTCTTCAAATGAAAGTTAATTTTTAAGAGCCAAATAGAAATTATTAATAATTTTGATTTACAAGTCTTGTGATTAAGAAATCTACTGAAGATCAAGCCATGTTATAAGAAATCGACATGAGAGAAGAAAATCCTTCATTAATCCTGTGATGCAGAGATGTCTGGTTTATGGCAGCAGGACCAAAAATACCTCAGGCAGCAGCCCAGAGCCGGCCGGGCCGAACTGAAGGCAAGGCTCGTTTACCAAGCAAATGTGTAACGTCTCCCAGACTGTCGTCTTCTGTCCTGGGGTCATCCCTCGCCACTCCTCCAGTGTTCTGAGCCCCATCCCCACCTTTTACTTGAATTCTTTCTCATCACCTTTGTAGAAAAGAATGTGACAGTCACAGCTGCTAACTGAGGTGCTGGCTCTGCCCTCACTGAACCCCGTGACACTACAGTAGTTCCTCCTCCAATCTTTATTAGGAAAATATCTGAGGGCAGGCAAACTCTGAAAATTACTTGGTTCTTACTCTGAAAGTCCTTTTATTATGATTAAGTGAGGAGGATGAAAGCCGGAAAGGCAGAGGAGACAGCTATTCCCAGAGAAGACAGTCTGAGCCTACTGGGGGCCAGGGTCAGAATGTTCCTGGAACTAGAGGGCTTTTTTACCTTTCTTGAAGGAGCTGTAGTTTCCTGTCCTAAAGTGTCCCTTCACCCCCGGCCTCATCTCAGTCTCACTTGTACCCTCTCTTCTCACTACCCCAACATCCCCCAATGATTTTTTTTTCAGGCACCTCTGAACTTACTTCAGTAATTAGTTTCTTCCAACTATAACCACCACTCCCATCTCGGATCCCAGAACACATCTGCCTGTCTGCTCATCCACCCCAGCATTTATTGAGTGTTTACTGCATGCCAGAGCCCAGGCATACAAACCATATGGGCTTTGCCTTAATAATCTGTAAGGGAGACAAGTAAGTAAACCAGGATTTGCCTGTCTGAAAAAGTGCTGTATAAGATGGATTACAAAGGAGACATGTCGACATTAGTTAGTCTTCTAAATGTCACCCCAAATAATACACAAACTTCACATGAATAGCCATATTGCTCCACTTTGAGAGTTAATGACTTACAAGGGTTAATGCAACAACACTATTACGTGTGTATAAAAATCAAGAATTTCCCCCCCAAAAAAAAAGAATTTCTCAGTCTGGTAAAGCATGTAAATACATAAAACATATAAAACAATCTGGTATTAAATCTATAAAACTCTACAGAAGAGTGACATTATAGTTAAGACTTTAAATATGTAAGTGTGCACACGAGAAAAATAACAAATACTTTACTGGTCATCTTTCAGTGAAGGAATTGCAGATAATTTAAATATAATTTTTTGGTTTGCCTGTGGTTTCTAAAGCAAATATGTAGTATTTCTGTAATAAAAAACCTTTAATTTTTTTACTAACAGAAAAAATGGGAATTTAGAATTTAAAACTTTGCATTGTTCCAAAGCAGGAGTTCCCAAGCTTGGCTGCACCTTAAAATCACCTGAGAACAGAAACAGACTCACAGACATAGAGAAGAAACTTACGGTCACCAGAGGGTAAAGGGGGTGGGAAGGGATAAACTGGGGGTTCGAAAATTGCACCTCTTCAGGAGTGATGGAAATGTAAGCTATCTTGATTGTTGTGGTGTACACATCCATCAAATTGTACATATGAAATATGTGTAGCATACTGTACAGGAATCATATCATAATAAAGCTGTTAAAATAAAAAAAATAAAATAAAACAAAGAAATCACCTGGGAGACTCTTAAAAACCCTAACGCCCAGGCCACCCTCCAGACCAATGAACTCAGAGCATATGAGGGTGGGACCCAGCTACCAGTTTTATTGCACTTTTTTTAACTCCCAAGTGATTCCCAAGTGCAGCCCAGTTTGAGAACCAGTGTCCTAAAGATATTTTATTGCAAATTCCCAACGGGAAACCACTAAGGTAACAGCAGAGTGATTCAGTGCCTAAACCCAGGAGTCAGATGGACTCAGAACGAATACTAACAACGCCCTTCTCATGTGTGTGGTTATGGACATGTTTCCTCGGCTCTCTGAGCCTCACTTTTACATCTGCAAAGTGAGGACAGAGCAGCACATCACAGCTCTGCAGAGTGTGGTGTGGTTTAATGAGACAATCCAAGTAAAGCCTTCAGCACAGTGTCTGTTTGGAAGCCAAATCTCACTAAATGTCAGTATCACAATCCTTAGCGCTGACGGAAATTATATATATATTTACAGATTTCTTCTATAATGTGTAGATTGCTTGTGTAAGTGTGGTCCACAGACAAAAGTGACAGGAGCTTAGATCAAAAATGGAGGCATTTTTCTGCCCACAAAATCGGCACTGCCTAGCAAACCACCAAAACAGAAATAAAGATAATGACCTATTCCATAGAAGACATTAGGAAAGTATCAAGAAACAAATTAGGAAAAAAAAATGGTCCCCCCTTAATTGCACTGCGTCTAACCTTGCCCAAAGCAGGAATATAAGATAGCAAAAGGCTTCCCAAAGAGCATCAGATCCCAGTACAGCTCTGAAAGAGTTCAGCATGCCATCTCTAGGAGGTATCAAGCCTGAACTATTCAAGACGGAGTTACTCTTTTTAACTCAGATTTTTGATTCTGCAATGAAGGAAACTCTGCAAACTTCTGTGGTGCTTTTAAATGTCCAAGAACTTTTTTTAAGAAATTCTTATTTCTAATTCTAAAGTTCCTGACAACATACTGATCACATCTGCACCCTGGCAGGACTTACTGTTTTATCTTTAGTGATTAATCCTGAACTTTCTTGATGAAAATGGAAATTCACACGCAGTGACAAGCCTTTCTTGGAAAGCAGGACAAACAAAACGTTTATAATAGAAGGTGTCAGAACAATT